TTCGTGCATATGCGAACACACACAGACAAACACATAAAGAAAGGGACGCACTTGCATGCTTTGAGGTTGACGTGTGGCTGGAACTAACCACCTCATCAAAGAGGTGAGGCAGCTTTTTAGGCATGAGCCGGCCAGTGTTTTTTGACTCTTTATCTTGAATTGGGTTGTGACGATGGTACCCTCGATGCTCTGATCATGTTCGTCATGTGACGGACGAAAGCCGGAATCGAGGGAGATCACGTCGGAAACAGCGTCAACAAGGATGTTCCAGTAAAACCATGCGACAGTTGGTCAAGAGGAATCGGATGGTGGTCGTCGTCTGGTGGGATCTACCTTCGAATCCATTTACCGCATTCTTTCACTCGAAATGGAAGTAAGCTCAACAATTATGAAACCAGAGACTGCTCGAAACCCAACTTCTCGTCGCATAAAGTACGGTTTCCCGCTCCACGAAGCCGGCGGCAGCGGAACAAATAAAAGTTTGGTATCGAGGACTCGATTCCCAAGAACCAAGAGCTGATGACTTCCTCGCCCCACCAAAAGATGTCTCTTATTGGGGTTCTGAAGCTGTCTTCTGACGAAGCGAATAGTATGAGCATATCCAGTACATATAAAGTCTATGAATTGTTACGCCCTCAAAGCTGAGACAATAGCCAGTCTAGATTGTATTGGCCTCATGCAATATGTATCTCAGTAATTTTAAGTTGTATAATACAATAACATATAACCTTCTTCCTGAAAGCCAATTGTCATTTGCTTTGGTATGTCCCATATTTCAAACTGTCTCCTACCAGTTATGGCTGAGCAAAAGGAGAAGCCTGTTTTTCTCTGAGTAATGTTTTACGTTCGCGAAAATCTATTTGTTGCTTCAGAATAAACGTTGTGGTTAAGTAGGGGAGAGTAAAGGATGAATGATTTTCTAGACAAATGACAATTTTATTGTTGATAATCTTTCTCAAATTTAGTTGAGCAGCGAAGAATCGTGGTCAAACCTTCCGACTCGTCTGGATGGATTAGGGCAACAGTGCAAACCGCTTACTGTGCAGCTATATTTACCAAAACAAATTAATTTGCTTGTCTGCTTTAAATGTCTCTGAGAATGATGCCTGGGATCGGGCAATTCGTATTTCTGAGAGCCCATGCAAAGCTATTTTTCGCTACTTGGAAGAAAATCTTGGTCCAATGCTATCCCGAGAAGCAAGAAGTTTACTTCCGTCGGGCCGCTGGCCTCGACAGTTGAATTTAGAGGCTGTAGCTAAGCAAAGGTTTCCCAATGCGGCCTCAGTTTCACTCCTGGTGGGAGTTGGGCTAAACCTCCCATCGTAAAAGTGGGCCTAGAACCCATTCCTACTGCAGCCGAAGCTCAAATCGAACTCAGTTTCTTTCCGCCGTCCCAACTGGCGTCGTCTTAGACGTGAGGGCAAGTCAAATCTTTGCAGGGCCGGACAAAATCCAGTATCAACGCGACGAATCTCTGCTTCGTTCAGAAGAATAGACAACCTTACTGATCTGAGTTTAGCAATCCAGGTAGAAAATATGTGGGTTTGAGAGTCCAGCATGAACCAAGTGTACACATACCGACGGCCGGAAGCCTTATGCTCCTCCGAAGAGATGCCGAAAATGTGGTCTAGAAAGCCTTGTTTGTGAGCAATTCCGAAGTAAATCTAATGGCATTCTCAAACCGAATTAACTGATTTTGGAAAAGCTTCAATTATCAGCGTTTGCATCGACTTAAACAATCTAGGCTCATATACTACTTATATCGAGAATGAGGGGAGATAGAGAAGAAACCGAGAAAAAAACCAAAAAGGGTACGAAGAAACTCAGAAGTGGTGGCCTGTTCTGTTTTCATCTCGTCTTTGTTTTGAGTGAATGTAAATGATTGGCCGAATCAAAAGAAAAAGGATAGACAAAGAGAGAAAGGCAATTTAGCTCACTTGCGTAACAAATACATACAGTGAGAAGCCTCCTTCAAGTCACGAGCATCTATCTAGCGATGCAAAGCACCAACGAACAGATGATGATACTCTTTTTGACAAAAAAAGCAGTTCAGAGCATGCGAAAAAGCTCTTCTATCCACCTTTTATGCAAGTGAATTAATGTATTCGTTTACTTCGGCATTTTATTTTAGTGGTAGTTTCAGAATATGGGCTTTTAGCCTATTTTTGGTGCCACACTTTTTCCCTTTCTGCGCGCTCCAATATCGTCAGAGACGGAAGGATTAGTGTTATTAAAAATTGTGTTACTTAAGAAACACTCGAGTACAACGAGAATACAAAAGGAAGATTATCACCAATTTGGCCCTGACATCGAAGACTTTATTTTATTATTTTTGCCTGAAGAAGATCACCATTTTATTGCTACTGAAATTCTAAGGCCAATGCCCCCCGAGTGATACCCTTCCCTGACGCTGTCTGATCGACTGTGATTGGAGCCTATTCAGGAGCTTCTCCAATTCAGACGACCTAATCATGAGAATAGTCTGAAAAGCAATTCGGGCCTTGTTTGCTGCAAGTGTGCAGGGAGCACTGGTTTCTTTGAGCCTGAGGGCAGAAACAGAATCTGGGGCTGGCATCCCCATCTTTCAGAATCAGGATGCCTATGCATGAACATTCAAGTTAGACTGTCTTTTGTTTGAAGCTTTTAATAAGAAAGAAAAGATACCATTTGTGTTGATCTTCCTGTTGTTATTGGAACTTTTGATCCTTTTGAAAATGGATGAAAGCAAGACCAGAAACCGAGATGACATTCTCAGGTCAGTCTCAAGACCAAATTGAGCTTGGGAGCCAAGGAATTCATGAAAGATATGAGATGATTCACATGTCTAGCCTCGACTGACTTAACTCTCGGTTGCCTGGACAAACGAATTTCATCTTCTTTCTTAAACGAAACGAAGCAAACAACAATAGTAACAACAACACAAATTGTCTCTCCTACTGCGTTACCACCAAAAGTCCTGTTTAAAAGACACCTCTTCAGGGAAGTTGACGTACAGTTCAGCTTTCACATGAGCCCTACATTTGTCAAGAGGTGCTAGCAAAGTCCGCAAACAAATGCACAGCGAAGGCAACAGTTGACGAGACGTACTCTTTAGCTTTGTGTCGGTAGGCCCCAAAATGGCATAGATTGAAGGCCGGGTCTACAATGGGAAAAATGAACCAGCGGTGGTGAGTCAGCACAACTCATTGTCACCACGTCGGTTCGGCTCGGTTTCGCGAAGCAGAGACCGACTGACCTCCAGACTGAATGTGTCAGCAGAGCCACTCGAGACCGAAGACACACCCTTGAGGCGATAAGCCCTTTTTCGCTGCACTTCGCCTAAAACGCCCATACACCCCCAGTGAGTCACAATCTATCGTAGTCACCATGCCACCAAAACTTAGACCAACCCTCCAGCGCAAACAAGTAACCAATCTCCGCACCACTTGACTAAAGCGTCGCATCGGTGTGTTTGCACACCCTCCAAAAAGTGAAATTCCTCCCATCACACTTCACTCCTCCAAGGACGGTACTTTACTGTCACCCACGAGGCTATTACCAGTTGAGTCAGACACTGATTGCAAATCTCTCCACACTCCATTTTTGTACACTAACTTAGTGTGAAGACTTTTATTTCGTATGAAAGTGGATGTCGAAGAGATTTGCTAATTGATCTCACCAGAAGGCGACTACTGATTCTCGTTGTACTGCCGCAGTTTGGCTCTAATACTTTGTTTAGGTTGGTGAAGTCCACCAGACATCCTCCTTCCTGTAACAACGGATGCAACATCATCAGCTAACATCTGCGTTTTAGAATATTCCATCTCGGTTCCAGTTTCTGGCCCGCTTCCAGATGTATTTTCAACCGAAATGAACGTCTCTTATTTCGAATACTTTAAGCAGCCGAGGTTGCTTAAGGAGATCAAGGGATTGATAGTTGAGTTTCTCATACAAAATGAGACGAATAGGCCGTAGGATATCATATTTTTATCTATCCTTGCGCCCTAGAAACTGCAATTTATACCTCGCCTTACTTATTTTTATCAGTAAACACAGCGGAAATTAGTGCAAGGTCATGAGAGCTCAAGTCAAGCCTGTTACAGAGGCTAAGGAAGATGCGTAAAGCAGTATTGAGTCGGTTTCAAGTTGAGACTATTAATTGCCTGTTAACTACTCATTTAAACTATAAGTAGTTTAGAAGTTGCTTGACCTTGTTTTCGCAA